CATACACTGGCATTCATACACTGGCATTCAGACACACATACACTGGCATTCATACACCAGCATACACACACACATACACTGACATACACACACTGGCATTCATACATACATACACTGGCACACACATACACTGGCATACACAATGGCATACACACACTGGCATTCATACACTGGCATACACACACATACACTGGCATTCATACACCAGCATACACACACACATACACTGGCATACACACACTGGCATTCATACACTGGCATTCAGACACACACTGGCATTCAGACACTGGCATACACACACATACACTGGCATTCATACACCAGCATACACACACACACATACACTGGCATACACACACTGGCATTCATACACACATACACTGGCACACACATACACTGGCATACACATACACTGGCATTCATACACCAGCATACACACACACATACACTGGCATACACACACTGGCATTCATACACACATACACTGGCATACACACACTGGCACACACATACACTGGCATTCAGACACTGGCATTCAGACACTGGCATACACACACCAGCATACACACACACATACACTGGCATTCAGACACACATACACTGGCATTCAGACACTGGCATACACACACACATACACTGGCATTCATACACTGGCATTCAGACACACATACACTGGCATTCATACACCAGCATACACACACACATACACTGACATACACACACTGGCATTCATACATACATACACTGGCACACACATACACTGGCATACACAATGGCATACACACACTGGCATTCATACACTGGCATACACACACATACACTGGCATTCATACACCAGCATACACACACACATACACTGGCATACACACACTGGCATTCAGACACTGGCATACACACACACATACACTTCATCCCCAGCCACCCTCCTCTCTTCCTTACCATTTCGTCGCAGGAGGGTGGCTGGGGATGATGGGCATCGGCTGCCTCTCCTCATGCTGCGTCCTCCTTCCCGCGCGGAGTAAAGTGGGAGGAAGTGACCGGACGTCACTTCCTCCCAGCAGCACTTGCTTCCGGCTGCATTTTTTATTACAGCGCTAAACGGGCCCCTGAAGATAATAGGGCCCATTGGGTGGCCCTAAATGATTGGGGCCACCTGATGGGCCCCATCAGCGTGTGGGCCCCGGTGCAGATGCACCGGCGGCAGTTCCGCTGATCCACGTGGGGCCCGGGCGGCCGGGCCCCCCAGGGCCGCCGGGCCCGTGACAATTGTCACGGTTGTCATGCCCTGATGGCGGCCCTGCTTATGAATGTGGGCTTTGTATGGGGGCTGCTTGTATCATTGTGTGTGAGAGGCTGCTTGCGCTTGTATGTGGATTGTCAGTGGTGTTTGTGGGGACTGTGTGTGTTTCAGTGTAGGCTGTTTTCATTATTTATATAAGGAAGAAGCTTTTTCTGCTGCTGTACTCCAGTGCAGATTCCCATTCATAAGTGTTGGGAGGAAGTGATCTGAGATGCGTAAATTGAGGATCGCCCCTCACCACCTGCAATAAACACTCGGGTTGCACTAGCAAGTATCCCTTTGGTACTCCTGGTAGGCAAGATCATGTTTGGCACTGGCAGCCTTGAGTGCCATGAAAAAGCACCTCAAGTGCCATGCAAAGTTGTATCCATCCTTGCAGAACGGTTGTCGTTTATGGGGGGTCCCTGTTGCTTTAGAAATAAACAGATCACCTTGCTTGAACAGTTTATTATCCATCTGTTAACCAACATGTCAATGACAGTTTGAATGTCAGTAAATACATGGTAATAAATGGAGCAGCATTTTTGCATGGTGACTTTGAACCTTGTTTGTAGTCAACAAATGTATCAGGCTGTGACTAGATCTTGATGACATAATACAGATTCAGAACAGAACAGCGCACACATAAAAATACAGTGTTAAATTATATAAGGCTACTTAAAATCACCTCTCAGCAATCAAATATGGGGATTCAGTTCCACCATATGGCCATATTGTGTTAAGTCCACCACTACTTCACAGTATCCCAATATTGGTAGGTCCTACACCAATTCCAACAAGGGAGACAAATTAAATAGTGCCAGTGCTAAATAAGCTAAAGAGTATTTTAATAATATATATAATGCAAATTGATCTCCATATTTGTTTGCTGAGATAGGTTATTTTAAGTAGCCTTTTAACACTGTATTTTTATGTGTGCGCTGTTCCTTAATCTGTATTAAGAATACATTTTGGTCACTACGGCAGCACCATTCTCGTTGACAGCCGCTAGAGGTGTTTGCGTGCTTCTCACTGTGAAAATCACAGTGAGAAGATGCCAGCATCCATAGGAGGCGGAGAGGAGGAGGAGGAGAGCTCCCCGCCCGGCGCTGGAGAAAGGTAAGATTTTAACCCCTTCCTCTCACCAGAGCCCGGCGGGAGCTGGACCCTGAGAGTGGGGGCACCCTCAGGGCACTATAGTGCCAGGAAAACAAGTATGTTTTCCTGGCACTATAGTGGTCCTTTAAGCTCCTTTTTACAAGTGGTAAGTCCTCTCCCCTCTGATCCACTTTTATCTTGTCCCTTTTTACAACATTGTACCCACATTTTCCCCTCCCCTACTGTGGGCAGCAGTCATGCCTACCCTTCCTGGTCAGTCCAGGGGAATCCTTTCTATTTATTTTGCCTCTTTATCTATCTCAATATGATGCAGGTGTCAGCAAATTTATTTTTCAGTTACCAGCGATAAGTTATCGGATCTTGCCCGAATTTCATAGGAAAACATGATTCAAGAAAAACATGATTCAAGAAAAACAAGATTAACTGCGTGTGAATGTAAAGACAAAATATGACTTTTTACTGTATCAATAGGAAAGTATGAGTCAGTATGACAGAGATGATTATCTTTTTTTTCTTGCTAATGACAGCTACTCCACTAATCTACCATCCTTATCTTGAATAATGCTGTCTAACCTCCTGGTTAACCATTTCATGACAAGCAGATAGATCAGGCTGTGCTATACACTCATACACATCGCACACTGTGAGTTTTAATGCTGTGAAGCTCTGTGATATTCCCATTTACATTATATACTATTGCGGAGTTCTACCAAACACATGTAAACTATTTAGATTACGGTGAGTTTCATTGCTGTTGAACTCTTTGATGCACATATAGCAGACTATATACATATACATGCAGTCATGGGGAAAAAAGAACGTACACCCTCTTGGAATTCTATGGTTTTTCGTATCATATACCAAGTCTTAGAATTAGGTAACTACAACCTCAGATGAACAGCAACACATGGAACATTACACCGTGTCATGATTTATTTAACAAAAATAAAGCCAAAACAGAGAAGTCATGTGTGAAAAAACTAAGTACACCTTGTGATTCAATAGCTTGTAAAACCACCTTTTAGCAGCAATAAGTTGATGTAATCGTATTCTGTATGACTTTATCAGTCTCTCACATCGCTGTGGAGGAATTTGGGCCCACTCTTCTTCACAACGTTGCTTCAGTTCATTGAGGTTTGCTGGCATGTGTTTCTGCACAGCTCTATTAAGGTCCCGCCACAGCATTTCAATTGGGTCGAGGTCTATACTTTGACTGGACCATTGCAACACCTCGATTCTTATAGTTTTCAGCCATTTTGTTGTTGATTTACTGGTGTGCTCGGCAGGGCCGGCAATAGGCATTGTGCTGCCTGGGTCCATACATGAAATGCTGCCCACTCTCCATCCCCCCCACCTTAAAAAAAACCCAAACAAACACAAAACAAGCTCTCCAAAACACGCTTATATCCATTAATTTATGCAGGGGGTAAATAATGAAGTATCTAAACTTATGTATTGTATGCAGGGTGTGCAATGGATGCAGTGTTTGTGTATTGGATGCAGTGTGTGTAGTGCTAGCAGTATCTGTGTTTGTGTAGTGGATGCAATGTCTGTGTGTGTAGTGGATGCAGTGTGTGTGTGTGTGTGTTTGTATAGTGGATGTAGTATGTGCATTTGTGTAGTGGATGCAGTGTGTGTATTTGTGTAGTGGATGCAGTGTGTCTACGTATGTTTGTAGTGGTGTGTACTGGATGTAGTGTATGTGTGTTTATAGTGGTGTGTACTTGATGTAGTGTATGTGTATTTGTAGTGGTGTGTACTGGATGTAGTGTATGTGTGTTTGTAGTGTTATGTACTGGATGTAGTGTATGTGTGTTTGTAGTATTGTGCACTGGATGTAGTGTATGTGTGTTTATAGTGTTGTGCACTGGATGAAGTGTATGTGTGTTTATAGTGGTGGGTACTGGCTGTAGTGTATATATGTTTATAGTGGTGTGTACTGGATGTAATGTATGTGTGTTTGTAGTGGTGTGTACTGGATGTCGTGTATGTGTGTTTGTAGTGGTGTGCACTGGATGTACCTGTGCCTGTATACAGTCACACACACAGGTACAGGCAGACAGTTACACAAACAGTTACAAGCAGACAGTCAGACATGCTCAGTTACAGGCAGATAGTCACACACACAGTTACAGGCAGACAGTCAAACACACACTCCATTACAAGCAGACAGTCACACACACTCGGTTACAGGCAGGCAGACAATCACACACACTGATAGGAACACACACACTCCATTAGAGGCAGATAGTCACACACACAGCTGCAGTCACATATACAGGCACAGGCACACACAAAGGCACAGCTACAGCGACACACACAGTTACAGTCACACACACAGGAAAACATTCACACACACACAGCCAGGCAGACAGTCTCACACAGGCAGTCACACACACACACACACACAGACAGTCACACACACAGACAGTCACACACACACACACCTACCTCTTTCCATTATGGCCGGAACGAGGAGGGGAGGCAGTTGGTTGCCTCACAATAAGCTCCACCACTCAGTAAGTCCCGCCTGTTATGCTACTTGGGTTATTTGGATTGGAACTCAACTGCAGCTTGTAAAACTCCCCAATTATAATAGTGAAGAAGCAGAGAATCTTAAAGTATCAATACTGTAGCTTTAAGAAAGGAGAGAATTGCTGGCTCTTTGAAAATCAAATGAAGTTTTAATAATTGTTAAACTTAATGAATTGCATTTAGGCAAAAATCCAATAAGAATAAGTGAAAGACATTTAACAATACAAAGTTCATCAATAAGTATTTCCTCAGAGATATATTAAATAAGATTCATTAGGTTGCTAGGAACAATCTTCAATAATGATATTTAACAGGTAGTAAAGTATTTGCAAAGCAAGAAACAGTTCCTAGTGATTAAGTATGATGGGAGTTGTCCTCCATATAATTAGTAGCTTGAAGCAGTGAAGATTTAAGCAAGCCGTAAACAGTTCATCAATAAATGAGATAGCAGAGAATAGCTGAAAGGTATACATAAGGT